ATTAAGTTCTTAAATAGTTCCTCTACATACTTTGAGAACCACATTAATGATACAATTTTTTTTTACAACCACATAATATTTTAAATAACTCAGGAAGAGACATATTTATCCACATGATTAACTGTTCTCTTATTCTTTATTCCTGATGTTTCAGGTTTCCTTCTTTTATCTTTGTTTTATGTTTGAAGAACTTTGTTCTGCAATAATCTTAGGGCAGACCTGGTGGTGACAAGTTCTCTTAGTTTTTCTTTATTTGCGAATATCTTTATTTTTGCCTTCAATCTCAAAGGCTGTTTTCAGTGGATATAGATTTCTGGGTTTAAAGTTCTTTTCTTTCAGCACTTAAAACATGTGCAACTTCCTTCAGGCTTCCATAGCTTCTGAAGAGTAATCCAGTGTCAGTTGAGTTGTTTTCCTCTCTCTATGAGAAATCCACTGTCAGTTGAGTTTTTTTCTCTCATGTCTTTTCTCCCAGGTTGCTTTCAAAATTCTTTCTCTGTCTTCAGTTTTGATTCTCATGTGTCTGGGCATGACATTTTGGGGGTTTATCCTGTTTGGGGTTTTGTAAGCTTCTTGAATATGTAGGTTTATGCCTTTTGCCAAATTTGGAAGTTTTCAACAATTATTTCTTTGATTTTTAAAATTTCTATTTTTAGCCATGCTGTCTTTCTCTTCTTTTTGAAACTCAAATTGGAATTTCATTAGAACTCCAGTGACATAAATGAGCATTATATCTCTTTTTCTTCTCCTGCAGTTTCCTGAGGCTCTGTTCATTTTTTTCCCCCTTAGTCTATTTTTTCTCTGTTGGTCAGACTGGAAGAATTTTATTACTCTGTCTTTGTGTTTACTCTGAGTTTTTTCCTCTGTCATCTCCATTCTGCCATTGAGCTGCTCTTGTGATTTTTTTGTTTGTTTGTTTCAATTATTGTGTTTTTCATTTCTGAAGTCTCCATTTATTTCTTTTATATCTTGTTTCTTTGCCAAGGCTTTCTATTTTTTCATTTGTTTCCGATTGTTTATAATTGGTTATTGAAGTATTTTTCTGACAGTTGCTTTAAAATTCTTGTTAGAGAATTCTAACTTCTGTGTCATCTCATTGTTGGTGTCTAGTGATTGTGTATTCTCATCCATGTTGAGATTTTTCTGGTTCTTTGTCATTTTTTATTGTATTGTGGACATTTTTGGTGTTAGGTTGGGAGACCCTCTTCCTATTTAAGTCTCCTTACTCATTACTAGCACCTGCTGGGTATACCCCATTACCGAGATGGTAGCTGGGCTCCTGTCTCACATGCAGCCTCTGACAGACTCCTGTTGGCCGGCAGGGTGTCATAGCCAGGCCAGGAGAGTAGTCAGGGTCCACTCACACAGTCCCAGTGCTGGCTACTACAAAACGCCAGGGATATGAGGTGCATTTTTTTTCTTGGTGTTCAGTTGGAGTAGGGCTGATGTTGTCAGAAGAGTCTATCCTGCAAGGTCCCCTCCTGTCCTTTGACCATAAAGAGCAGGCTCACCCTTGTTTTTGGTCTGTGTCCACTGATGATTCTGGGTTGCCAGTTTCTTTGGCACTCAGATTGGGATGTATAGGGGACAAACAAACAAAAACTCAAAATCAATCCAGAGAACTCACTATTGGGTCGTTTTTTTAGTCCTGAGGGGCCCAGACAGTTGGCCTTCTGTTCCCTACCTTTCAGAGTCTTGTTTCATATATTTTTGTCCAGGGTGTTTAGGTATAATAAGTGGGGAGGAATAGGGTGAAACGTATCTACTCTGTCTTGTCTGGTACATGAAGTCCTCAAACCAAATTTTAAACTTAATCAAGATATATTTTAAAACATAAATATTCCTGGGAAAGTATTGGTATATTCAGACCCAAACTGTCTTTTTTATTTTTGTAGTTACATTTATTTAATGACTGCTTATTGAGTGTGCCTTGCAGAGGCATATAGGGTGCATAGAGGGCATGCAGAGTCTGCCCTCATATGTAATGGACACAGTGGACAGGTGAACTAACTACAGGCATACCTCACTTTTTTGCACTTTGTGAATACTGCTCCCCCCCACCCCTTAAAGGTTTGTGGTGACCCTGCATTGAGCAAGTCTGTTGGAGCCATTTTTCCAACATATGCTCACTTTGTGTTTCTATGTCACATTTTGATAATTCTTGTAATGTTTCCAACTTTTTCATTATTATTATATCTGTCATGGTGACCTGTGGTCAGTGACTTTTGATGTTCCATTGTAATGGTTTTTGGATGCCATGAACTGCATCTATATAAGATAGTGAACTTAATTGATAAATGTGTGTGTTCTGACTATTCTACCAGCTGGCTATTCCCCCTCTCTGTCCCTCTCCTTGGGCCCTCCTATTCCCTCAGACACAACAATATTCAAATTAGGCCAGCTAATAACTCTACAATGGCTTCTGTGTGTTCAAGTGAAAGGAAGAGTTGCACTTTTTCTCTTGCTTTATATCAAAAGCTAGAAATGATTAAGCTTAGCAACCAGAGAAGGCATGTAGAAAGCTGAGATGGGCTAAAAGCTAGGCCTCTTGTGCCAAACAGCCAAGTTATGAATACAAAGGGAAAGTTCTTGAAGGAAATTAAAAGTACTATTCCAGTGAACACATGAATGATAAGAAAGTGAAATGGCCTTATTACCGATATGAAGAGTTTTAGTGATCTTGATGGAAGACCAAACCAGCCATAACATTCCCTTAAGTCAAAGCCTAATCCAGAGCAAGGCCCTAACTCTCTTCAATTCTCTTAAGGCTGAGATAGGTGAGGAAGCTGCAGAAGAAGAGTTTGAAGCTAGCAGAGGCTGGTTCATGAGGTTTGAGGAAAGAAGCTGTTTCTGTAACATAGATGTGCAAGGTGAAGCAGCAGGTGCTGATGTAGAAGTTGCAGAAAGTTATCCAGAAGATCTAGCTAAGATAATTGATGAAGGTGGTTACACTAAACAACAGATTTTCAATATACGTAAAACAGGCTTTTATTGGAAGAAGACGCCATCTAGGACTTCCACAGCTAGAAAGTAGAAGTCAATGCCTGACTTCAAAGCTTCAGAGGACAGGCTTACTCTTGTTAGCAGCTAAGGCAGCTGCTGACTTTAAGTTAAAGCCATTGCTCATTTACGTTTTTAAAATCCTGGGGTCCTTAAGAATTACAGTAAATCTACTTTGCCTATGTTCTATAAATGGAACAGCAAAGCCTAGATGACAGCACATCTGTTTACAGCATGGTTTTCTGAATATTTTAAGCCAAATGTTTAGACCTGCTGCTCAGAAAAAAAGATTTCTTTCAGAATATTGCAGCTCATTGGCAGTGCACCTGGTCACCTAAGAGCTCTGATGGAGATGTACATGGAGATTCATGCTGTTTCAATGCATGCTAACACAATATCCATTCTGCAGCCCATGGGTCAAGGAGTTATTTTGACTTTCAAGTCTTATTATTTAAGAAATAACATTTTTTAAGGCCATTGCTGCTGAATATAGTGTTTCCTCTGATGGGTCTGGACAAAGTACATTGAAAATCTTCTGGAAAGGATTTACCATTCTAGATGCCATTAAGAGCATTTGTGATTCATGGGGAAAACTCAAAATATCTATATTAACTGGAGTTTGGAAGAAGTTGAGTCCAGCTCACATGGATGACTTTGAGGGGTTCAAGACTTCAGTGAAGGAAGTAACTGCAGATGTGATGGAAATAGAGAACCAGAATTAGAAATTGAGCCTGAAAATGTTACCGAATTGCCGCAATCTCATGACAAAACTTTCATGGGTGAGGAGTTGCTTCTTATGGATGAGCAAAGAAAGTGTTTTTTTTTTTTTTTTTTTCCTTTTTTTATATCCTGTTAAGTTTCAAGAAAGAGGTTTCTTGAGGTGGACTCTACTCCTGGTGAAGATGTTGTGAACATTGTTGAAATGACAACGAAGGGTTTAGACTATTATATAAACTTAGTTGATAAAGCAGTAGCAGGGTTTGAGAGGACGGACTTCATTTTTGAAGGAAGTTTGTTCTATGGTGGGTAAATGCTCTTAAACAACATTGCATGCTACAGAGAAATCTTTCATGAAAAGAGGAGTCAATGGATGCGGCAAACTTCCACTATTGTCCTATTTTAAGAAATCTCCACAGCCACCCAACCTTCAGCATCCACCACCCTGATCAATCAGCAGCCACCAACATCGAGGCAAGACCCTCCACCAGCAAGAAGCTTACAACTTGCTAAAGGCTCAGATGATGTCAGCATGTTTTAGCAATAAAGCATTTTAAAATTAAGATATATACTTTTTTTTAGACATAATGCTATTACACACTTAGCAGACTACAGTATAGTGTAAACACACTTTTATATGCACATTCTTGTGACTTGCTTTATTGTGATGTTTGCTTTATTGTGGTGGTCTGGAACTGAATCCACAGTATCTTTTTAGTGTGCCTGTAGTGGATTTCAGATTGTGATCCCTGCATGGAAGCTATGAGGGGTGATGGAATTAAGCAGCAGGAATAACAGCAGGAGGTCAGTTAGGAGGGTATTCCTTTTGAGAGGGTTTTGAAGTGATCAGCAATGGGAATGGGGAGAAAGGCAAGGGTTTGGGGACATTTTGAAGATGAACATAAGCTGAAACTTTAAATGTGTGTTGTTTGTCCTTTAATATTGATATTCAAGCTTCGAATGAGTTGCATTGTATTTCTAAGTGACTTTTTCAGATTATGAGGTTACTATATCTCACTGTAAGAAAACTTGGAAAATACAGAAATGTGTAAGAAGAAAAATAAAGGGATTTATTCTATAATGGGATAAATGTGTTAACGTTTGTCTTTCCTATTGATCTTTTTATGTTTGAGTATTGTTTATATATATATATATATATTCAATGACACTTGTTAATGTGTGGTAAGGAAGACTTTATTTAGGACCATCAAGATAGGTATAGGGACTACTGCAATGGGATTTTGCAATGGGGGAGAGAGATTGGGCTCAACTCCAAATACAGCATGGGCAACTGGGAATTTAGAGCCAAGGAGCAGGGTGAGAGTCAGAGGGTAGAAAATACTAAGAGGAAACATCAGGAATAAGGGATTCTGGCTAAATTGACGTAGTAGGATTCTTGCTGAAGACAGACCATGGTGATCAGACATCACCTGGGGAATGGTAGAAGATGAGAAACCTTATCAGATATTGAGAGTGGGTGGTTCTTGCTAAACTGGATTTTACAAGGAAGTGCACAGTTAGGCCAAGGAGAAGGTTCAGGAGCCTGAGTAAAATTTGATCAAACAATCTTTGTCAGTATCTGCTTTATTTCTAAAAACTAGGAATTTGGACTTTTATCATAATATTTATTCTCAATAAACAAAGATTAAAATCTCATAATTTTCTATCTTAGCTGAGCTTCAGTCATTATCTATTCCTGGAACTTACCAAGAGAAGATTACTCACCTAGGAAATTCTTTGATGAGTCTAACTGGTCTAAAATCTTTAGATCTCTCACGCAACTCCTTGGTTAGTCTAGAGGTAAGTTTTGGGTTTGTTTCTTAGAGGAAAATTCATTGCTATCAAAATCAGTGGAAAGTACATTTATGATTAAAAATGCAATCTGTTTTGTAACTATGTTTATAATACTTGTAAAGTACACTTACACTGACTATAAGGGTTGTGTTGTTTTTCTTGTGTTTGTTGTGAGCTATATTTTTTTACACATCACTTTGTATCTTTAAACTACTTTGACAACCAAAAGTTGTAGCTCTCTGATGAAGATGGTTGCATCTTTAAAGGAGATAAAATAAGGCCCCACAGATGAAAGTGCACGTGCCCGTCACTCTCCTTCCCCTTCATGTGCCTGCTGCACTTCATCTGACCCTGTACGGCCTGACTTTCGAGCCTCCAGCCCCTGAATGGCAGCACAGTGAGCATGGGGCTCATGGCAGCATGCTTCACAGGGGCAGTGCTCAGTCCTGGTGAGAAATCACCAAGGCAATAGCAAGTGGGAAGGTTGTTTAAACACTGCTTGGGGCTTGATCCAGAGAGGGGATTATTGCCTCAAAAGCTCTGCAGGGGGCCGGCCCGGTGGCGCACTGGAGAGTGCGCCGCTTGGGAGCACGGCGGCGCTCCCGCCGAGGGTTTGGATCCCATGTGGAGACCGGTTCCCGCTCACTGGCTGAGCACGGTGCAGGCGCAACACCGAGGGTTGCGATCCCGTTGCCGGTCCCCGGTACAGGCGCGACACCGAGGGTTGCGATCCCGTTACCAGTCAGTAAAAAATGGCGCACTGGAGAGTGCGCCGCTTGGGAGCACGGCGGCGCTCCCGCCGAGGGTTTGGATCCCATGTGGAGACCGGTTCCCGCTCACTGGCTGAGCGCGGTGCGGGCGCGACACCAAGGGTTGCGATCCTGTTACCGGTCAGTAAAAAAGACAAAAAGGAAAAAAAAAAAAGCGCTGCAGGATGTGACATCCTGGAACATGGGACTTTACAGAGACCACACCTGACACAGGGCTTAGGAATCCAGCCAGAATCAGAGGTGGTTTGTCCAGGCTGGTGCTGGCTCATCTCAACCTCCCAAAGCCTCAGTTTTCTCATCTGTGAAATGGGAGCACTAGCAGGTCTTGCCCCATAGGTTTGTGTGTGGATTAAATGAAATTTTGTGTAAGTCTCTTAGTTCAGCACATGCTGAGATTGCAGTAAATATTAGCTATCCTTAGTACCATTATGACTTTGGCAAATGTGGCACTTCAAACTTCTACACAGTCATTTCACTGTGTAAAACAGAACTTCACAGATGAGATCATGTTTCATTCTTATGCTATCCTGGTAATGGCATGTATTCATGACAAATGCATTTATTAAGTTCATTGGTATTACAGGATGTATTGATGGCTTATTTTACTATGTGTTTATTCTTAAAAGTGAACTAATTACGCATATTTTCCTGTAAACAGGGCATTCAGTATCTGATTGCATTGGAAAGTCTCAATCTCTACTACAACTGTATTTCCTCGTTAACAGAAGTATTTCGGCTCCACTCCTTAACTGAGCTCATGGATGTAGACTTCCGGCTAAACCCTGTTGTGAAGAACGAGTCTGATTACCGCCTGTTTGTTGTGCACATGCTCCCCAAGCTCCGACAGCTAGGTAGGCACCAGGTGGCAGTTGAGTTCACACCCTTGCTCATTGGAGCCATAATGGGTGTTTTGTGTTCCCTCAGTTTGTGCTGCTGATTCCTTCCAGAAAAGAAAGTCGATTTTCACCTTGATGGCTTGTGTCCCTGCAGACACACTACTCTAGCAACCTTGTGTCTTTAAGGGATGGTTCTGTGGCCACAGAAGCACAGTGCTGGTCAGGCCACCCCACCCTGTTCTGCCCCTCCACTTTCTAGATGTTTGACTCGAGCATGTTTCTGGACTTCTGCTGCTCTGTTTCCTTGTGTGGCCTCCTAGGCATCATCTCAGGTTTGAGTAGACAGCTGGATTCTACCTGCTTTTGCTTCCCCCTGGAAGGGTGCAGGACAATCAGATTGTTGCTCTCCACTCCCCCCCCGCAGGTGACAAGATGAGAGGGGATGAGGTACAGTGACCACCTTGGCTTCGTGGCCCCATGTTCCCAAAAGAAGTTGGTTTCTGTGACAGCTTGTAGGCAGAGCTTCCAGGGCCACACCCCCATGCCTGGAGGGAGTGTCCCTCAGTCCGAGCAGCCACAGACCACCTTCCCACCTGCCTCCCTACTCCCTGGAGTCACCTGTGCTGTGAGCGGTGGTGGTGTCTCTGCTGATGCTGTCCCGAGTTGCACTTCCAGGGAAGAGAGCTGGGGCTGGAGCTCGAAGGCACGCTGACCATGGAGACTAGGGGAAGTGGAAGGTTTGAGGTCTCTTACCGTCAGTCCTTCTGTGTGACATGGGGTCAGAAGAACGTTGAGTTCACAGGGCTGTGGTGGGGAGACTTGTGTGAATGTCTGTGAGCTCCCAGGACAGTGCCTGGCAAGACCAGGGACTCAAACCTTCACTGGCATTTCTGTGGTTAGTGGTATCAGACCTACTGTGCACACTTGTTCAAAACCTGGCCCCTTCTGAACATAGTAGGTCATTAAAAATAGAAGTCAGCAAAGGAGAAAACACTTTTTTCCTTTCACTGTAAATGCCTTTAACAAGTTGTTTTCTACAGCTGTAGATGCCTTTGGAATTCTTTCAGAAAATTGAGATTTAGATGTCAATTTTAAGTAAACAGCAGCAAAAAGAGGCTAATGTGGCTTAAATGTGGGCAAGCTTATTTGTGGGTAAGTCTGCCTGGCCTTTGTGAACTGTCAGCCGTGGACTGGTTAGGACTGAGTCAGCCTTGGCTTTGCCACCCACAAGGTGACTGTAGGGCAACCCTCACCTTTCAGCTGGCTTTCCCATACCGTCCTTCTGCAGCCCTGGACGGGGGGTGCTGCTGTCGGCCTGGCTCATAGGTGATAAAGCAGGTCGAGGAGTGTCTAAGTGCCTGGGTGCATGGACACTGAGCTGGGACTGGACCATGCTTCCCTAGGCTGTCCTGCTTGGTGTGGTGTAATGTCGTGTTATTGCAGAGAGGCCAGGGATGTTTGCACCACAAAGCAGTCTTCTCTGTGTTTGCAAATTCTAACATCTTAAACAGCATTCCTTTGCAACCTGGAGATGTTTCTGGAAGTGCTGGGAAGAACTGTCTGTCAGCATGAAATGAACACACCCCTTTTGTTTCAGTCTTGTTTTGTGACAGTGTAGGTTGGGGATGTAGGTTTAAATCCTTTTAAAGAAGTCCTCTGGTCACAATGCCAAAGTCTGCTAGTTTGACTATTGCCAGAAAACCAACCTGCTTTATAACTAACAGTCAAAACAGTTTTTCTCCAACCTTCCAACAGTGATTTGAAGAACTAACAAAATAGCTTGAGCCCTGGTTGGCCTCCCGCAGCCGAGTGGGTTTCATTTTCACTGGAGCTCAGCTGCCCAGGGCAGTGTGGGCTGGCAGGTTGTGGTGGTAGCAAGAATATCTGAGTGGAGGTGGTGTTCCACCTGTCTCTGCCCCTCTTGAGGGGGCATTCACTGCTTGGCAAGGGCTTGGGGGCGCTTCGGGTGTCTGCGTCTCCTGTATGCTGACCCACCTCTCAGCATCACTTGTAGGTGAAGATGTTGAGTCACCACCATGGGCCATGTCAGAGTCTGGCCAGTGTATGTAGAGACCCCATGTCCTGCAGCCCTCAGCAGTGAGTACATTCTCCTCACGAAAATCTCAGCCACACATGTGTGGTGGTGTTCTGGGAGTGTGGCCACTCAGTTAGGCTGTACCTGCCTGGGCCTGGGGTGGGCTGTGGGCGTTAATGATGGACCCCCAAAGGCATGCTGTTTATTTCCAAACCTGCTTAGAATATCAATGTTTAATTTCAAGATATTTGGGAGGAATAAGTGCTTACATTCTAACTTTTATTTGACTGTTTAACCAAGTAACGAGTCTGGCTCTTCTTCAGAAGCATTATAGTCCTTACTATGGGCAATTTTTGGAATCCTCTGTTTCAAGTCATTTCTTTCCCTTTGTCATAAAAGTTTTAGATTTAGAGTGTTACAGTGTTTTTATGGAGAAGGAATATGAGTTTTTCCACATGCAAAAGATATTTCTAGACACAATAAAGGAATGTAATTGAAATTCAAAGTCATTGCAGAACTCATGGAACCAAGGAATCCTCTGGATTCCACTCTGCCCAGCCTGGTGCCTGACAAGAATAGGGCTTGGTCCTCAGTTCTGAGTGGCTGATTGAAAGTCCCTGGAGCTTATAAAGGAGGGGGGAGCAAGAGGTGGGGTGGAGGGCTGTCGTGTGAGCATGGCAGTCAAGAGAGGGTGTGTTTGCGTTTGGCTTTGGACGTACTGAGTTTGAATTTGCAGTGGAAAGGTCCAGAGAAGTATTCTTGGAGTAAGGGATTTTGAACTGACTCAAGGGAAGTGACAGCTCAGTGAGTGGAACTTGTGAGTGTTTGAGCAAATGGGGAAGGCAGGGTGGGTTTAGGAAAGCTGGAGGATGGGCGTGTGTCGCTGGGGGCATCTGTGTAAGAGGTTGGAGGAGCCCAGCTTGTGACGCTTTTGCATGATTTTCAGAACAACCTTGTTTTTCTACTTTGGAAATTATATTGCACTATTACTTATTTACTCATTTCTTACTGTAATTATATAATTTCCAAGGTGTGCCATAGGTTAAACGCTCCTTGGGAGGCAGTGTAGGAACTTAATCAACATTTACAGCATTAATTCTGTGACAAAATGTGTTGCAAGTTCCAAAGCACTGACTTTGAACCATTGGGGACCTTCTTATCTTCAGGTGTTTATAGAAGGAAGTTCCAGGAGCTCTTTGAGTAGAGCCTTCTGAGTTGCTGGGCACATGTGTGGGAGCAGCTTAAACTTGTTTGTCTCTGCAGTCCAGTCCTAAGGACCTGTGGATACAAACCCTAAGGGCAAACTCACGCAGTAATGTTCAGGATTCTCCTCCATGTGTGACTTGAGAATCTCATCCAGCACCCAGTGTTCGCATTGAGGAAAGGACACGTGTGTGTGTGAATCCCATCTGTGTGCTACATTTCTGCAGGTAGCGTCCAGCCTCCACTGTGGTGCCAAGCAGTGAGCTGTGAGACAGCAGCAGGCTCAGCATGTCTGGGAAACCCCATGGGCACCAGAGCCCTGCATTCCTGCACTGGGTCTGCCCAGGGCTGACGGCGACACTGTGGCAGGGTCAGCCCCAAGGGGATGGAAGCCCCGTTGTGTGCAGTGTGCCCAGGGTGGGGGACTGGGCACATCTGCTCCCTCAAGGAAGATGGCCTGTCACCACCTGTGCATTTCTTTCCCAGATGACCGTCCTGTGAGGGAGAGCGAGCGGAAGGCTTCTCGGCTGCATTTTGCTTCAGAGGATTCACTCGACTCAGAGGAGAGCTTCCCGGCTGCTTTGAAAGTTGGAAGGTATGAACAGAAGTGCTATTAAACATTCAGAGAAGTTTCCAGACTGGCCTATCAATAGGACATTCAACCCAACACATAGACTTCTGTGTGCGCTGCTGGCCCTGATGGGGCAGACATACAGGAGAGGAAGAAGCAGCACCAGGCATGGCTGGGGCTTGTGCAGATGGTGGACAAGGCTCTCTCCCTGTTTCCTACATTTTCCAGAAGTTATTTCTCTCAATATTTAAAATGTTTATTAAAGTAATATATGCAAAGTCAGATAGAGCAAAGGGCTCACAATGAGAAACAGCCGTCCCTGTTCCCCAGTCCGCGGCTGCCTTTCACTCTGTAACTGCTTCTCTTCTAGGTTTTGTTTGAGTTACTTTCTCATCTCCTCATACAGTGAGATCTCATTTCTGGATGTGACCAGTTTAAGCAGCACCCACCTGCTTGGATAGAGGAGTATTTAGTTGTCCTACATGCCCGTCCCTTTCCCAGCCCCTGCAGAGACAGTTCCTGGAATGTGCCCCTTCCTGGCTGCTCCTCTCCCTGCCTGCTCCTCTCCCTGCCTGTGCCTGCCTCCCCACACCGCCTCCCAGCTCCTGATGTCTGCAGTGTTATGTTCATTTTCTATTGTCAGGTTGATAGTATTTGAACGTATTCTGAAACCATAAAGATTCTTCATTCTTTGTGTATGGATTGGTTCTAAAGGGTAGAAATCAGGTAAACCATGTTTATGTTGCTGTGCAAAGTACAGGATTATGTACTCCTTTTTTTTTTTTTTCCTTTTTGTCTTTTTTCGTGACCGGCAACGGATCGCAACCCTCAGTGTCGCGCCCATACCGGACCGGGACCAGCAACGGGATCGCAACCTTCGGTGTTGCACCCGCACCTCGCTCAGCCAGTGAGCGACCGGTCTGTATGTGGGATCCGAACCCTCGGCGGGAGCACTGCCGCACTCCCAAGCGGCGCACTGTAGCAGTGCGCCACCAGGCCGGCCCTATGTACTCCTTTTTGTACACCATTTTGTCCAAAGCTTTTAATAGTTTTTTTCTTGCTTAGCTCATCCTTAAATTCCTCTAATGCAGGGATTAGCCAGCTTTTGTTTTTTTTCTAAAGGGCCAGAGTGAATGTTTTAGGCTCTGTAGGCCTTATAATCTCTGTCTCAGCTTCTCAACTTGCCTTAGTAGTGTGGAAGCAGCCATTAGCGATACATAAGCAAATGACAGTGTTTCAATAAAACTTTATCTACAAAAAGAGGCAGCAGGCAAGATTTGTCCCACGGGCCATACTTTGCCGTTTTCTATTCTAATGTCTTAAAAATGATTCCAACTCCTTGAGATCTCCTGTTCCCTCATACGCCTCCTTACCCCCCCCCATTTCAAAACAGACTAATTGCTGTGTAGACAGCTGCACTCTGGTACTTTGCAACTGCTACTTGTTCTTGGGGTGGAGACACTGCTCTGGATCTCATGTTGTCTTCTGCCTCAGTTTCCCCCTTTCATTTTGCTGGTGCACAGTGTTGGGCCAAGGAACATGACCTTTACTGCACCAGCACTCTAAGGTCCAAAACTGTGTTTGTGGAGGAAAAACTGAGAGGCAGAAATGCAGCAGGGTGCACAAGAGCTCACAGATGGGCAAGCTGGACGTGAAAATGGAGAGGAGCCAGGAGAAGGCCCCTGTCTCTGCAGTGCCCTTCATCACTGTAGGGGGTGCAAGGGGCAGGGGTGTGTTGGCATCAGGGAGGGGCTCCTGGAGCTCCCCAGGGATTCCCTGTCCTCTATACTGCAGACAGCAAGCTCGTTCCTTGCTCAGTGAATGAACCTCGTTGGTACCCAGCACTCTCTTCTTGCACATCTTCAGACACCCTCCCAAGAAGACTGTGTGGAAGTGAACTGTACATGTGGTGGCTTAGTTCTCACACTCTAAGACTAATAGAGAATTCCAGGTTGGGAATCTTTTTTAAATTAGTAGGTGTCTTAGTTCAGGCTGCTATAACAAAGTACCATAAACTGGGTGGCATATAAACAATAGACTTTTATTTCTCTCAGTTCCAGAGGCCAGCACTCTGAGATCAGGGTACCAGCATGGCTGGGTTCTGGTGAGGGCCCTGCGTTGCAGACTGTCGACTTCTCACTGTGTCTTTTTTTTTTTTTTTTTTCCTTTTTGTCTTTTTCCGTGTCCGGCAACGGATTGCAACCCTCGGTGTTGCACCCGCACCTCGCTCAGCCAGTGAGCGACCGGTCTGTATGTGGGATCCAAACCCTCGGAGGGAGTGCTGCCGCGCTTCTCAAGTGGCGCACTGTAGCAGTGCGCCACCGGGCCGGCCCGTCAATTTTTTTTTCACAGATGTGCTTTTGGTGTTGTAGCTAAAAAGTCATCACCAGGGCCGGCCCTGTGGCTCACTCGGGAGAGTGTGGTGCTGGTAGCGCCGAGGTCACGGGTTTGGATACTATATAGGGATGGCCGGTGCACTCACTGGCTGAGTGTGGTGCGGACCACACCAAATCAAGGGTTGTGATCCCCTTACCGGTCAGAAAATAAATAAATAAATAAATACCCTATTTAAAAAAAAAAAAAAAAGTCATCACCAAACCCAAAGTCACCTTGATTTTCTCTTATGTTATCTTCTAGAAGTGTTATAGTTTTGCATTTATATTCAGGGCCACGATCTTTTTTTTTTTTTTTCTAAAAGATGACCGGTAAGGGGATCTTAACCCTTGACTTGGTGTTGTCAGCACCACGCTCAGCCAGTGAGCCAACTGGCCATCCCTATACGGGATCCAAACCTGCGGCCTTGGTGTTATCAGCACCGCACTCTCCCAAGTGAGCCACGGGCCGGACCAACCATGATCTATTTTGACTTGATTTTTGTGTAAGGTGTAAGATCTATGTCTAGATTATTTTTTAATTTTTATATTTTTGCATGTGGATGTCCAGTTGTTGCATTCATTATCTGGACCTTCCAGTATGATTTTGAAAGGAGAGAGGAGAGGGGATGTCTTTGCCTTGTCCCTTATCTTAGCAGGAAAGCATCTATTTTGTCACCTAAATATGATATTAGCTGTAGGTTTTTATAGTTGTTCTTCCTCAAGTTGTGGAAGTTCCCCTCTATTCCTAGTTTGCTGAAAGTTTTTATCATGAATGGGTTTTGGATTTCATCACATGCTCTTTCTGCATCTATTGATATGATCATGTGATTTTTATTCTTCAGCCTTTTGCTGTAAGGGGTTACATTAATTGATTTTCAAATGTTGAACCAGCCTTGCATACCTGGGATTAATCCCACTTGGTCGTGGTATATAATTCTTTTTATATATTATTGGATTCAATTTACTAATAGTTTGTTGAGGATTTTTGCGTCTATGTTCATGAGAGATCTTGGTCTGTAGCCTACGTGTACTATCTTTGTCTGGTTTTGCTATTAGGGCATGCTGGCCTTATAGAACGAGCTAAGGAGTATTCTCTCTGCTTCCATCTTCTGGAAGATGTTGTAGAGAATTGGTACAATTTCTTCCTTAAATGATTGGTAGAATTCACCTGTGAACCCATCTGGACCTGGTGCTTTCTGTGTTGGAAGGTTATTAATTATCAAGTCAATATCTTTAATAGATATAGACCTATACAGGTTGTCTATTTCTTGTGTGAGTTTTGGCAGATTGTGTCTTTCAAGGAATTAGTCCATGTAAGCTAGGTTATTTTAAGTTTGTGGGCATAGATAGAGTTGTTTGTAATAATCCTTTATTATCTTTTTAATGTCCATGGGATCTCTAGTGATAACCCCTCTTTCATTTCTGTTATTAGTAATTCGTGTCTTCTCTCCTTTTTTCTTAATCTGGCTTAGAGATTTATTAATTTTATTGATCTTTTAAAATAACCAGCTTTTAGTTTTGTTGATTTTTCTCTATTGATTTCCTGATTTCAATTTCATTGATTTCTGCTGTAATTTTTATCTAATTTCTTCTGCTTACTTTGGATATAATTCGCTCTTCCTTTTCTAGTTTCCTAAAGTAGAAGCTCAGATTACTGATTTTTATATCTTTCTTCTTTTCTAATAATTCATTCAAGGATATAAATTTCCCTCTAAGCACTGCTTTCACTGCCTCCCTCAAATTTTGATAAGTTGTTTTCTTTTTCATTTAGTTCAAAATATTTTTAAATTTCTGAGATTTCTTCTTTGACTCATTTGTCATTTAGAAGTGTGTCGTTTAATCTCCAAGTATTTTGGTATTTTCCAGCTATCTTACTGTTACAGATTTCTGCTGTAGTCTGAGAGAATACGTTGTATGATTTCTGACCTTTTAAATATGTGAAGTTGTGTTTTATGGCCCAGAATGTGGTCTAGCTTGGTTGAATGTTCCATGTGAGCTTGAGAAGTATGTGTATTCTGCTGTTGTTGGATGAAGTAGAGTATAGATGTCAATTATATCCAGCTCACTGATGATGCTATTGAGCTCAACTGTGTCCTTACTGATTTTCTGCCTGCTGGATCTGTCCATTTCTGACAGAGGTTGTTGAACTCTGCAACTATGGTAGTGGATTCACCTACTTCTCCTTGCAGTTCTCTCAGTTTTGCCTCATGTATTTTGACTCTCTTTTGTTATGCACAAGCATGTTGAGGATTGTTATGTCTTTTTCAAGTACTGACCCCTTTGTTGTTATGTAATCCCCTACTTATTCCTGATAACTTTTTTTGCTTTGCAGTCTGCTCTCTCTAAAATTAATATAGGTATTCCAGCTTTCTTTTGATTAGTGTTAGCATGGTATATCTTTCTCTATGCATTTACTTATAACCTGTTTGTTTCTTTATATTTTAAAGTGGGTTTCTTGTAGACAACATGTAGTTGGGTTTTGTTCTTTGATCTACTCTGACAATTTCTCTTTTAATTAGTGTATTTAGATCGCCAGTGTTTAAAGTAGTTATCAATATGGTTGGATTAATATCTACTATATTTGTTACTGTTTTCAATTTGTTTCCCTGGTTCTTTGTTCCTGTTTTTCTCTTCTGTTTTTCTGCCCTT